GCCACTGATCGTCGTCGCTCTCCAACCGGCTACTGTTCGGATCTCTGCGGTTCCGTTCGTCGGGTGTTCGAGGGAGAGAAGTAGCTTCGTAATCCATCGGCGCTCGAGCTAGTTCGGCGTTTCTGTTAGGATCGGGCCGCCATCCTTCGTTCTTTATTTGTTGCTGTAGTTGACTATGGTTCCAGAGGTTGTTCAAGACCTGTAACAAAAAGATAACTGGAATATCAAGCTGGTTGCCTCTTGTCATATTTTTTTATAAAACATTTAAGATAGTGTGCGCGCGCCCTCGTTGGTCGATAGGTTTGTTTAGATGAGAGTTTATTATATCGCTGTGTCTCACAAGGACTGGGAACTACCGAATTCACGAATTTTATTGCCTGAAATCGATATTGCAAGCGGTCTGGATTTTCCGATCTAGACCGGCATCTAGACCGGTAATGTTTTGCTGTGAGAAAGTTGTAAACTAGAATACAAAAATATTGACTATTTTCTTCTCAAAATATTTATTTATGGAAGTACCAAAAAGTCTGATGACAAGAAAAAAATTAAGAGGACGAGCAAACTTTGGCAAAATTAATTTCAGCTCATCGCCGTTCGCGAGCAAAATGTCAGCTAATACAAACCTTACCAGTTACATTAAAGGAATTAAATTGTTCTTATTAACATGTCGTTAACCGAGCTTAGTCAGTCTGTATGGGAGATTCTCCCATACAGACCTCCTGCTCTGTTAATAAGAGCTAAATATAAACTTAACAAATTGATATCAGTTTTTCATACGTCAGTCCTCTTATTGATCATGAATTTCATCATAACATTGTCAAAGTAGCTGCGCTGTGATCCACAGATTACTTTGACTATGTTATAACAACTTTCATTGTCAGTGACAGGACAGTCACGTGAAAAATTGACGTAAACTTGTTTTTTTTTAATAAATTAACGTATAAATTATAAATCCGTGTGTCTGTCACTTATTGACAATAAAAATAAGCCAATGAGCGCGCGAGAATTTCTGCGGTCATTGTAAAAACGGTTGTGACATGAAAAAAAAATATATAAGAGCAACAGGAGACTTTTTTCCCCGTGTTATGCGAACGCTAGACTGCGTCTCAGGTTTGCACAAATGTCTCGAATTCTCATAACCTCCTCGTGAAAAGATGGGGGAAACGGAAAAAAGGCCTGTATTGCTTAAATAAATATAGCACAGATTACACTCTCGCTGAACATTAGAGGACAATCATTTTCCAGGTTGAACCTCTATTTTCATTGGGTATCTGACTGCGCGCGAGGTAATGAAGTGCGCGAGGAAACAGTGCTAGCGTAGCCCCCGTTCTTAAAAACTGAGACAGGTGATATCAAAACCCACTGAATTCCTTTATCACAAATGAATTCGTAAGCTTTGTTTACGGTCTGTGTCAGTGCCCAACTGAAGAGGATAGCGTCCTGTAATCAGACAGTGTGTTAGATACCGAGCTTGATCGAATGATTGACATTGCTTACCTGGTTAGCTATTTTTATGACTCGAGGCGAGTATTGTTTGTTCTGATCTGTCGCTATCTTCACTATCTTCTGAACACCTTTGGTCTTACGCAGATATCTGTAACAGAGATGATCATACATATATTAGTTATGCAACGCCCTCTCGTGGTATACCATGGAATATCACACTTGTCACTTGTATTTTCTCGTCATACACGAGCCTATAGGCGAGTGTGTATACCAAGAAAATACAAGTGACAAGTGGGTTATTCCATGGTATAC